ATATATATATATGGATTTATTGGTGCCATTTTAAAGGTAATATATATTCATTTGCCTAGCTTAAAACTGATGAAAAAAATATCAATTTATAAATCTTGAATGGAAGTATTCGCAATTGAAGGAGATGAGGTTGCCTGATTTCAGAAGTAACAATGTAACACCACCTGACTTCTTTCTTTTTAGCACTTTTGTTTTGTTGTGTTGCAATGTTAAACTCTGAAACTTTTAAAACTAAAACTGCCTGTCTGTCTGTCTGTCTTTCTTTGTCTCGCTCTCTATCACTCTTTCTCTTTCTCTCTTTCTTGCTCCTCAATCTCTCTCTGTCTTTCTATTTTCTCAATCATCTCAAACTGATGTACTCTTTATATATTTATCTCTCTATTTTCATCTTTGACCTCTGTCTCTCTCTCTGCATTTGTTAGCCATATATAAGACTAATATGAGAGAGGGACATTTTTATTTTTTTTTCAATTTTCTTATTTCTCTATAATATAATTTGAAAGCGGAAAATTGAGGAAGGGTTAGTGAAGTCACCTTATTATCTCTTACATGTCTGCTCGTTTCAATTTTAAAGAAACAGTTTGCCTTGAATTTTCTAAAATTTTCCCGCTCCAAAAATATTGCTTGCGCTCAGATACTACTACATCCCTGTTCACGGTTTAAATTTTGATGTCTTCTTTATGCCACAGGTGATCTCTGCTGCGACAATGGCTAAGCAACCGTACCCAAACCAGGGCATGTACCCACCTCCAAATGAAGCTCCTCCTCCGTACCCTCATCCACAAGGAGCTGCTGTAAGTTGGAAAGTCACAGTTTTGATATTCTCTACCATCTGTCCGTGGGACCGGTGTCTGGGGGGTAGATATGGCGCTTCGGAGTCGCGTGCTGAAGACCCAAATTCAAATTCCCTAAGGGGAGAATTTTAATCGAATATCTCGGTCTTTCTACTGGGATATGGTATCCATTTCAACTAAGGTAGGCCCTTACTTTGACGGTCAGGTTTGAAGCCCACCTTCTAAATTATCCAAATTATGTTAATGGGGGCGTAAAAACACCCAAACAATTTTAAAGAAATATTGTCAGCAGGTGACTAATCAGATCCACTGCACTGGGACAGAAGATACACATGATAACAAACCATCTACTGTTGGAAGGATAGGCATGTCTGCCGAGGTTTGCATGTGATCATTGTTGGGAGTATGTTTGGTTTTTCTGTTTGTGTTGGGATGTTAAACTCAAGTAGCTGGTGGTTGAAGGGCACCACTAGCTTGTCTTCCTTCTGTTTTAACTCTTTTGTTTCTGTCCCTCTGTCGTGCTTTTTTCCTACACTCAATGACCGTTATTGTTTTGATGTCCTTCTAATCTCTTTAATCTTGCAAACAAACAATTATCCAAACTAAATTAAATTAAAGTTGTTAATTATTGAGACAAACTGTGATGAAATGAAGTTATGTGATAAATTGTTAAAAAACCCACAAGAACAGCCGTGCAATGGCATATTTGTGTTTGTAAAAGTGCTTTGATTGTGATTTGAAACTTTAAAAAAAGATTTTTAGTTGTACTTTGATGGCACAAGGGGCCAAGAATGCAGAAATAGACACACAAAGTTGTTGGTTTAATATCAGTTCCTTTAATTTGATTGAAAATGTTTGACAGAGAAGTGAAGTTTCAGGGCCTTGTTGGATGCGGAAGTCCCAGAGGTTGAATAGCTAGATAGATTGCCAGATTACAAGAAGTTGCTACCAACCCCCCCCTCTCCCCCCTTTAATGTTAGACCCATTTTGGATTTGGAGTCAACTGTTACGTCCCTGATGCTTTAAGCCTAACTTCATAGCCTCCCCCCCCCCCCCCCTTCTCCCTCTTTCCTTTTTTATGTTAGGCCCACTTTTGAAGTAACCGTTTGTGTGTTTGATGCCTCTAAGCTCATACCCTTTCCTTTTATCCCCCCTTTCTCACACACACTCTTTGCAGGAGACCCATGTGTGAAATGAACGTTTTTTGTATAGTGGGGTGTATCATTTGAACAGCTCAACTAAAAACCTCTCTGTCTCTCTCTCTCTCTCTCTCTCTCTCTCTCT